AAAGTATTCATGACATCGGAAATCCTCAAAAATTTAGAACTTTATAAATGTATCGAATCACTGAGAGTTTTAGCTTACCCTCAGTAGCTATTACCACCAAACATATAAGTAAATTACACCGTTAAAAAATACCTCTTAATTACTTATATATATATATTCCTTTAAATAGTTTATACGTATTTAAGAAGCTAAATCATTACAGATAACAACTAAATAGGTATATAGAACTTATTGGTGCTACATACATATGTATGCCTTAATTTAAACAATGCATTGACTTCCTTTAAGTCTAACTTAGATCTACAACAAATAAATAAAAATGGCAGCTTAATTACTAACAAGTAAGCTTATTGCAAGGATATGAAAACTGACAGCACATTAGTCTGATATTTTATACTTGCCTTTACTCTATGAAACAGATCTTATACTGAATGTTGTTCAAAAATGTACTCTTCGTATTATTCTGTACAGCTACTTCAATCAAAATTTGAATTTGGATAAAAATTGAATCTTTTACTCAGTACTTTTTTTGATAGATTATAAAAAAGTTTACTAAAATTTGCTAAGACATCTGCAGAATAAGCAATCAGTACGCAAGACTCGACAGTTTTCGGTCCGATTTGCGATAAGTTTACTGCGCTTGAAGTAAGAAATTTTAATAAATGCAAACTAAAATATGTAAATCATGTTTAATATACTCATATACTAAAATAACAGGTAAACAAATATCTTATTTATTATCAACACACTTTTAGGCGATCGTAAAGTTTGATTTGAAATTAAAATATTCAAATCTAAGTCTCTAAAAAACCCATTTTGAATAAAAAACCAAATAAGCATAAAATATATTTTATTAATATACACTGAATATGTATAAGTAAATCACAACAATAAAAACACCGTAATTGCGTGTTATTGAAAGTTAGATTTCGTTAAAAAATTTTCATTTCATGTGATTGTTTATTACTTAAAAACTTACATTTTCTAATTTTATATTTCTTATTAAATTGTATTCCTACTTCTTCTCACTTCTTCACTAAATCACTCAATCACAAATTTCACTGTCAAATCACAAGTTCACCTCACGGAACTCACTAAATATTATTAGGTCACTAAATTCGGTACGAACCAAGTTTTTCAAGTCACCAACTAATGAACAAAATTAGTTCGAATTTACATTTTGCTCACTACTTATTACTTACTTACTGCTACCAACTACAAATACCAATTTAAATACTAAGTCACCCTTAATTTGTGATCAGCTCACGCTCACTTGAATCACATGAATTTGACTCACCACTTCACTTTTCACTCCTCACTGCTCACCGCTCACTTTTCACATTCAAATCACAGTACAATTTGAAATCACATTAAAAATTTCAATTAAATAATGTTTCATATAAACCAAATCAAAAAAAAAAAAAAAAAAAAAAAAAAAAAAAAAAAAAAAAAAAAAAAAAAAAAAAAAAAAAAAAAAAAAAAAAAGTTAATGTTAAACATTAATATTATCGAAATTTCATTTTTGTAATTATTTTTAATTGAATTCGTGTACCTGAGAAAACATAAAAGCATATGGCAAATAACTCAAGTTAAAAGAAAAATAAAATATCGATTCAGTAGTCATCGTTATTCATAAATCTGAACATTCAAATACTGTACAGCTCGAAATTTTAGTCAGCCGTTAACATTTAACGAAAATTTCCTACATCAACTTCAATTGCTCAAAATTTTTAAACATTTAACTGAGCGTCCGAAGGCATTTGCATTTTAGTCTTCAATTTGTTCACCACAATTTTAAAAGTTCATCTGTTATACAATATTCTTAAGCTTCACTATAATTACAAGCGACAATTTGTTAATATCGCTTTATTGAAATGGAACTGTAATTAAAATCGACTGTAGACTTATTTGTGATGACATTTGAGTTGTGGTAAAATCTCTTTACATTTACTCAAAGTTTATTGAATGAATATTGCGCAATAACAATTTTGCGCTTTGGGCGATTCAACAGTAAAGCGAATGCAATAAATATGGATATGATGATTACATGCCATTAACACAATACGAAGAAAGATACTTCTTTGAAAAATTGGAACAAACTGCTAAATTATTTCCAACTCATTTTCCTGATTATGGAATTTAGCATAAATAGGCGAGTTTTTTATTGCAATAAAAAAGCATCTCATTGACTAAATAAGAGTAAGATGCGAAAGTCAAAGTAATAATATTCCCTTTAATATTGCACCTTTCCATGCAATAAACTTTACCGTCCATGGAACTACCTGATGATAAACTTTAATAAGAACAAGCAGTTCTAGAGATAATATTCGTTCTACTCTAGGCCAGAAGGAGAGCTCTTTTCGGAAGACTCACCCTCTAACCTTCACTCCTCGTTGCGTCTCTTCTCCAGCGTCTATTCGCCCGTCCACATATATGTCGCCGGTATGTGAGACAGCTACTAGCAGTAGCGCTGGGACGCAGTTTCAGGTATGCAATTGGAGGACGGCCTTGTGTGGACCCTTGATAGATAAAATTGGATAGTTTTTTTTTTGTGGTTTTGGTGAATTGTAAGCTTTACAGCCACTTTATCAATCAATTGCATTCCTAAAACTTCGCGATCAACTAAATTTGGCAGACACCTTTGAATCATCTAAAAAGATATACCTAGCAGCTTCCGTTGAATATCCTCTAAGGATAAGGTGGTCATGTTTTAGAATTTAGATACCAAAAAAACATGTGTAAATTGTAGGTCTTAGTAGCAAACATATGAATAGGAATACCGCAGAATGATATATATTTCTAACCTTTGCAAACATCCAAACCCATTGGCTAATGCCTTGCTAAATTCCTACTACTAAACTCGTTTAAAAAGAAGTGTTATACCGGCCTACTAGGGAGCAACGTTCTACCAAAAGGCTCAATCACATTCTTGAGGTTCTTCTTTAGTTTTAAATAGGTTTAAGATTTAAATACTTATTGTTAGGCTTTACCAAGCAGATCAAATAAATAGAGAGATATTGGAATAAAAAAAAGGACTAGTTTGTAAAAATTTTCTAACTCAGCACTATGACTCAAATAATGTTATCACAAAAATGACTGCTTAAATTCAAAAATAAAGAAGAAATTTCGGCTTTGAAAGCTAAAGTGCAAATGGCCAATATCATTACATTCGAGCAGTTAAGTTCTCAATCAATTCAATAATAGCATTCGAAAGAAAGTTTGCATTCCTATAATCGCACATAACTCATACGATATAACGTTAAAGATATATTTCAATATTTCATTTTTACAATAAGTTCTTAATAAGCTTGGAGACAACGCAAAATTTCCAGACGTTTTGTTTAATTCAACAACAAAAAGTAGAACAGGTTTAGACAATTTATACAAAGTATTCTAAAACTCATTATAGAACTACATATTATGGCCATAACAACAATTAAGTGTCATATGTTATTGTAATTATATATTTATCGAGTTTATTGCTTACAACCTCTTCAAATTTACAAGCAACATGACAACTACATATATACTTTTGGTTTACATATATACAATCTATTTGCATATTAAAATTAATTAATAACCTTCCCGCCTTACAAAATTGTACACACATTTGTGCAGAAAAATTAATTTGAAACTATTTGTATTTTCGTATTACCAAAAAGATTTTGTAATAACTGTAACACATTTGAATTGAATTCATGCAATTGGCACTAAGTGATAATACGAAGTCCAGTATACAACCAGCGATTTACAAATATCATAACTAAGTTATTTATTATTATACTTATATTGAGTACAGCTGGTATATTTGAATACTTGTGTTGATACATAGCCAATTTTTGCTATTTTGATAATGGAAATTGGAAGATTCAAAATCTTATAACAGTAATTAAACAAATGGTTTGACAAATGGCCGGCGGAGCGCGTTTGAATGCTTATGTAATCCGCACAGTTGGCCTTGTTAAAGAATTTGTTCAATTATTGTCCAATTGTATAACCAAATTGGATTACGTAGTTGCAGTAATAAAAAATGTATTTATTGAAGTATTCATTAGTTGCATAAGTCGGCAGTAATTATCATAATTATTGTTATTACTACGGTTTTAATTGACGCCATTATGTAATACGTATTTAACTATTATGCTGTTGACTTTACTATTACCAATATTTACCAACTTTATGCAAACGACGCAGTCGTTTTGTTTATTTTAAAAAACCATACACGTTTTTCTTTCAACTTAAACAATTTTTTGTTGGAAAGCATTACATTTCATTCATAACATAAAATAATCAAAGCTATTCGTTCAATAACATAAATTCTTTTTTGTATTCCTCAAAAAAATTTTACCTCAATCCTCTACACCAACACCAACTATCCAACTCATCCGTTTGCTCCGACTCTAATTCTGACTACGACGCGGTCTCCAACCAACCAACCAACCAAACGACCAAACGACCAACCTGCAAAAACTTTGCATATATAACGCGGCTACTGTGTTGGTTTATCACCTGCTAATTGGGGGCCCATATCAAATCAAATCAAAATGAAACGAATCGAATCGAACCATGAAACCATGTATACTCAAATTGAAATTGAAATCGCATTGCAATGCAATACTGCGGCGCGTACAAAATCACAAAATCGAAAATCGAAAATCGAAAAAAAAAAAACTTTCGGTGGTGTCTGCTATTGCTCTGCCACAACTGCCATCGTCGCTACTTCCGCCTCCATCTGCGCTGCGGCTGGCTCCCACTCCCCTGCCTCGTTACGGTGGGTGGGCGCTCGCTGGAAACGGACTTTGCTGCTGCTGCTGTTGATGACGTCAACGACAACTTTTGTACGCTATTGACCTCATCGCTCGCCGCAACATCCATCGAATAATGTATTGCAATTGTCATTCAACGGCATTGTGATTGCGATTGCGATTGCGACTGCGATTGGAATTTGGAACTGGTGCGAATTGTTGTGCTTTCAACTTTATACTATTACCTCTCAAAAGGTGTCTCATGTCAAAATCGATTCACCTGTTTTTCGCCTACACACAAATGCAACTGTTATTTTATTAATAACATTCTCGATCGCTGTTACGACGCGGCAGTACGTAGGAAATCCCATAGACTGTGTACATACAAGGTAGGATCGATTAGGATGCTAAGGCATTCTAATTAAATAGTTAATCAAAACCAATCCACATCCAACTATAACACTATTCACACACCCACTACTACACAAATGCACACCTATATCTGTATAGAGAAACCGAAAATATGAATGATTCTATAATCAAGTAGTAGCACAAAAACACCACAAATTCGCACTCGGCCAGTGGCTGGCAAACTAGAATAGCGTTATACTTTCAAGCTACCTGTTTCGAGTTCTTTTCTCTAGTATATGTAGATTTTAACACCAACACATTAAAAATGAAAATTTAAGAGTAGCACAAACCCCCAGTGAAATTTCCCTAATAAATTGAGATTTTGAGAACTATTTAACACGGCCAATATACTAACATATGTATATTGTAGGCAATGCAGGGCTAAGCGTTAAATAATTTTCAAAATACAACGGTTACTTTCCGCTCCTTACCAACTTCACTGCCGCCAAAATAAGTCTTATTAACATAATTTCTCTTTCATTTTATTGGTGCGATTTGTAGAGACATTCCCGAAGATGTCCTCAACACGTATTGTTGGATACACTCGACATATACAGTGGTGGACGCTTTCATGAAAAAACAAGGTTCCGAGGTGCCTTTTCCTGGAGTTCATAATTCGCAGGGACGCGGTCCTCTCACAATAAAGCATACGAAATATTATCAATGGGTAGCGTTCACGCTATTTTTTCAGGTAAGTCACATATTAACTAAGATCTTTATACATTCCTTACATACATGCTATGCGAAAGTTAACGGCCATTTACTATACTATATGCACTTCTAAACTCTTTACCAGTTAGTTATTTAGTAATTTATCACGCATATTGAAGCCGACATGAAGGCTTTTCGTTAAATCTATTGATGATTCAATGTTTTCTTATGACAGGCGATTTCCTTCTGAAAAAGGATTTAAATCCAATAATGGTAGATATAGAGGTTAGCAAGAGGGAGCGACAGTGAAAATTTTTTTATTGAATTTTCAATTGTTCATAAAATTTTTTTTGATGACTCATACGATGTCTCTTTCGACCAATTCAGCGATTTTATCGCAATTTTCGACGACACGCCTTCCGGAGCGTGGCTCATCTTCGACCACCTCTACACTAGAACGAAAACGTTGAAACCATCGTTGTGCGGTGGAAATGGAAACTGTATCGGGTCCATAAACTGCACAAACTTTATTGGCGGCTTGATATGCATATTTGCCTTTACCGTAGTAGTACTGTAAAATATGCCGTATTTGCTCCATGTTTGCGACGCTATAACAACGAACTTAAAAGAAACGACAATCAATCAAACACGTGTTAGCGGGTGAAATGAGCTTTCCAAAAAGGTATAGCATGATCCGATGCGACGAATAAAAGTAGAACTACGCGCTCTCAGCGCCAACTAGCGAAAATACCGCAAGACTTTTTTGACAACCATATATATTTGTCTTAATCTACTTGCACCTATATGTTGAAATTTGATTGCGTTAACTCGAGTTTGGTAGATCAGATATTTGAAGAATAGGAAACAACAAAAGGAAAGGGCACAGAGAAGCCAGAATCCGAGCAACACATATTATGCTCTAGCACAGAATGTATGTCATCATATATGATATGTATGTACAATCTCTCCTCCTGTTCTCTGTGTTTGCTCCTCAACAATTTCAATTTAGAGTTCTTCAATGATTCTAATTGTATACAATTTCAAATGAATACTGTCAATATGTTGGCAAATAAAAAATATATGATTGGTTTTGGAGTCATGTTTATATTGGTAAAAACTGTAATGCAAATATTTACAAAACTTTTCAGCTAGACTCATACGAAGACTGAAAGAACTTGTGGAATATAAAAAGATTCCTGGAAGTCAGTTGCCCAGTTTGAATAAATTGACAAACACTAAATTTTATATCCATTCTCACATTTGGACATTTCGAAATTTAAATTAATAAGACAACAAGAAAAAACATTAACTTCGGTCACTCCGAAGCTGTAATACCTTTCATAAATAGAAAATATGAAGAAATTGATTCCGATCGTGCTATAGTGGTCCGAGAGCAGAAGGTGTACAAAGTTTCTGATGGATATCTAAAAAACTGAAGGACTAGTACGCCTATATACAGGCAGACGGGGCTGAGTCGAATTGCTCATCACGCTGATTATTTAGATATAAAAGTACGTAAATTTAGTGGGGTAACCGACGTTTCCTTCTGCGTGTTACAAATATCGCGGCAAACTTAATATATTCTGTTCAGACAATAGTTAACCATAAATAATGGCTTTTGGCAAAATCTCCGAAACGTTCAATACCAAAATAAACTTTGCTTTTCAGACTTCCTTTAACTTTTGTTCGGTTTCTAGTGTGTTAGTATTAATTTAGCAAAGCGTGTTAACAGTATGTAAATAAGGACTAAGTTAGCACATATTACAATTTCGCAGTCATATTGGAGGCACTATTTGGGCAAAACTTTATTTCGATGTCTGTTTTATATACATACATACATACCGTAAAGCGAAAGAACCTCATGGAATTGGAAGTTGATGGAAGCTTGTGTGGTTGTAGTTCGTTTTCGCAATGTAATTTAATGTCGGGAAAGTAAATACAACAAGCTTATTAGAAATAGGTGATATAAGATTTAACTTAAAGGTGTTCAAGTCCTACACATTACTTCTTCTGACTTTCGTTTTGTAACGCATATTCGCCCTTTTAAGTGGTTTAAAAACTAACCATTATATCGAGGGTAGGTGTGGTTATTACTAGCAATGTGAGTGAAATATTTCTAGCTAGTAGTTGATAAAGCTTTGTAGAATTTTGAGATAAAAGCATGTTTTTAATGCAATTTTTGGACCTGTATGTTAACCTGCATATACAAACTTTTGTGTACCAATTTAATTAGGTATCCACGTACTCTCTTGTAGGAATTTAACGCGATAACTGTGTTTCTGATTTGGTTTGTTGTAAGAGCGCAGCGCGCAGAGAAGAGGAGAATCGAAGACAGCTTTATTTTATTTACTAAATACATATAGAGCGCCCGCTTTAGTTAGCTAATTAAAACCAAGACAGTTCACATTTGCAAAATGCTCACGTTAAAATCACATTTCATTATGGTTTCGTACACATACTAATTTGCACTTAAATATGATAGGAAATGTTTGACAGAACTGTTATTTAAAAAATCAGTCATCTTTGTTGGTACTTTCTGTTTTTCTAATAATTGATAATAATAAGGGAGAAACTTAAGCTTCTCAGCACATTCACATCGTTTTAATCGACGCCTTCATGACTAGCTCACTAAATCTAGCACCCCCTGGTGGGGAAATCTATATGTCGACTGATGCGTTATAATCTGCTATCTTTATTGATTGTCCAGTGAGAATTTCATGACATTTCATTGATAGGAAGTGAAGTTATTGCGTTTTAAGTGTCAGTATGTTTGTGTTATCGGTGCGAAAATGAGCCAACAATAAATTTTCTTCTAAAATTGCTACAGTTTTACCTAAACATTTCAATTGATGAAACAAGTTTATGGCTATGATTGCCTATCCCATAGCAGAGTGCACTAGTGGTTTTAACGTTTCAAGGTGGTCGTGAGGACATAAATGACGATCAACATGTGGGCCAATCAAAATCTGTGATCACCGGAAATTCCATCGAAACTGTGCGCGAATTCACCAAAAATCAGAAATCATCATTGAAATTCATGGAAATGGAATTGGACATCTCCAAAACATCGATTTATCGCTTTTTGACCAAACATTTGAGCTTACGAAAGGTTTGTGCACGGTTTGTTCCGCACAAATTGATTGACGATCAAAAATTGCTCAGAATCCAACATTCGAAGGACGATTATTTGAAAGAAAGTCACATTTTGACTATTAACCACTCCCCGTATTCACCTGATATGGCACCGTGCGACTTCTTTTTTTGAAGAAATTTTTTGGAAAAATGCATTCACATTCACAAGGCTTGCACCGGCATACTGGCGGCCATACCGGCCAACGAGCTAAAACACTTTTGGACCGTGCAAAATGCTGTGTTGAAATAGAAGGAACTAATTTGGATCAAATAAATTGATTTTGCCGAAAAAAAAACTTTTTCGGTTTTTTTCTCAAGTCCTATTTTCTTATTCTGATCCATCATTTGAATGAAGGGAGTGACGTTTATTGGTATAAACATTTCGAAAATTTTCCGTCTTCAGCTTCATCTGGAAGTAGCATTGTCGATTAAGAGTAGACCTTTAATTGGCATGTTTCAAAGCTAGCTGTTCCGTGACGAAGTCCAATTCTGTCATATTAGCTCTAAGTTTTTCTCTAAATGGGTTAACTGCCTGAGGCTGTGAAGGCAACTTTTCGCCTGATATTGTTATAATATTAGCAACATTATATTTCTATCAGAATCAGCTTTATCAGGTAATGTCAAGCACACAGATTTCTTAGAACTATTTACGCACTAAATCTAATGTGAAGCACTTCATGCGAAACCAAATTTGCGATTAAAATTTTTTGCCGTTTCATGCAACCATAGAAACAGAACAGTAAATTACTATTAAGAGTATCCCTAAATTCAGAATTATTTAAGTTGATGCAAAATACTTTAAAACACTCAAACGATTTTTGTTCATATTTTAGAGCTTCTTGCCTTGTTCATATTTTCGAGCGTGCGCTGTAAACTAATAAGAATTTAAACTGTATTATCGACAACAACTGCTTGCAGTAATAATTGGCCGGATGCAATCAATGCATAAAAATTTCGCGTTGTTCGCTCCTCCCAAAACAGGTCACACCATTTCTAATACATACTTTTGTTGTTTATTCGTTAATACATCTTTATTTTAGTATTTTCAATGTTATTCAGTATGCATATGTATGAATTCTTGCATACTTAAATTTATTTCCACCAAATTATTCAAAAGTTCTGAATATGTGTGGCATTCTGTATTTGCGTTGAGCAAACGCAAACTGTTATAAACGAGACATTCTGCAGAGAACGTTTAATATTAAACATTCTGCATACACAACTGCATTACCGACTATGCTACAATGAATGCACGTTGATTTTTGTGCCATCTACCGGTATTACATCTTGGTTGGTGTAAAGGCAGAAGTGGGTACATGTCTTTGCTAAATTTAGTACCAGAGAATTTCAGTAATCTGTTAGCGAGAATTTTTTTAAATGCAGAGGCGCAAATGTTATCTGTACTGTAATATAATGTAAATTTTAATGAGTGAACGTTTGAAAGGCGCAAGTTCGAAATTGAAATAATAGCACGGCATGGAGTGATGGGATTTGAACATTAGGAAATTAAATTGTTGAAGAATTTACATATATGTATGTGTATTAAGTGCTTATTTTATTCCGCAGTCTATATCAATAATCCTCCTTTTCAATTCGATATTTTGTTTGTAAATATAAATTACGAAGGTTTTTGTGATATCATAGACATTGAAAACACAAATCTAAATAGTCATGCTAACATTCTCTACAAATACAGTTTCAGCTTGTATTGGCTAACAACGAATTAAATTTTATGGCACCGGCTGAGAAGTAAAAGTTGTAAATTTAGTTTAGTAGTTGCCAAATACTTGGAGATATTTCTATGAAAATAAAAATATTGAGGAGAAATTTCATTTCTGTTATTAAAAGCATACTATGTAATTGACATTTATAGTTTTCATATTCAATATTTATTTATTGTCGAATTAA